TTGAGGCCCCAGAGACCAAGGAGTGCTCTTGGACTGGCACAGTGGGGAAGAGCTGGTGGCTTTTCCTCTTTCACAGGCTCTGCTGGGCTGCACACTTTGGCAATACCCATGGCTGGGGGCAGCCTTGACTCCACATCCCTGGAAGGGCAGGGATCCAGGGCTCCTCAGCTTCTCTGCTCCTTGCCTGTCACTGTAAATATCAACCAGCAAACCTCAAACTCCTCTCTGCTCCTTCTGTCTGCCTCCCACCCTCCTCCCTCGGATCAATTTGGCAGCATCAAGTGAGACATGTAGCCAGGCTTTGGGTTTAACTAGATTGCTGGAGCAGAGTGGGAAATATGCAGATGAAAGAAAGTCATAACAGGAAGTAATTTCCCTTTACTAGGGCAAGAGCCTCCACGCTGCTGACCTGGCTGGCTAGCTCCCATCTCCAGGCTATTAAACAACTCATGTCCCCAGGGCAATCGTTTTAACCAACTGGGAAGGCTCCCAGATTGACTGGTTTTCATGTCTAAGAGGGAAAGCTTTCAGTTGGCCTATTTTGTTCCCCTAGTAAGCCATCCTCATGAGAAAATCTGCTATAAATATTCATCTGTTGAGAACCAACAAATTCAACTTCTTCACAACCTGTTTTCCTTTAAAATGGAGAAAAAGAAACCCCTACTAATCTAGTTCAACCTGTCTTATGTTTGTGCCAATCCTCCACTGAGAGAACTCAAACTCCAAAGTAGAAGTGGCCCCTTCCCAGTCTAGAAGGGAACAACAAAATATCCAGGAAAAGCTTTTCTACAACTTCCCAGTTCCAGTCATGGAAATGTAACTCACTAGATTTTCATTATCCTCTATTGCTGCTTTTAAAATTTGGAATTAAAGCAAATGCACCTCTAGGTCTGTTTCACCAGCTCTCCAACAGCCACTGGGCAGCACAGGTCTGACAAAACACATAAGTAAAAGAAAACAAAATATTACATGCCTCTAGGTTAGGAAATAAACCCTGTCCTCTGTTTAACTCCTGTAGTATGGCATTTTTCTGAAGGAAATAACTTCTCACTGAATGTGCTAATTCTCTTTAAATTTCAATTTGTTTGATGCAAGCACATCAAGCACAAAAAAAAGTAAGAAGAAAAATGCTGCAGTAGAAAAATGATGACTGGGAACAGCAGAAGTATCATAACAAGCACTTCACAGCTCTCATTTCAACTCAAAATAGTATTTTCTTATTTTCAGTTTCCCCTACTCTGTTTTTAGTCATTCTTTGAACACTAAACTGTCACTGTTGCCTTGGGAATTTGCACCAAATAAGGAATGAACAAACCATGGACAAGGATAAGCCCAACCAGTCTTTAAAAAGCTTCCCAAAAACAAAAGACCAAAGGAATATTGAACATAGACAGGGTTTTGAAGAGTGACAAGTTCAAAATCCTGATCTGCAGCAGTGCAGGATCTTTTCTGCTTCAGGAAGAGGAAAGAACCACAGTGAATCCAAGAAAACTGCAGCTGATGACTCCTAAATAACAGCAGCCATTAGTGAGCAGCTCACTGCCTTCCTTGAAGGTGGTCTGATGGTGGCAAAACCATTACAAGAGCAGGAAAACCTATTCCTGGACACATGACAGTCTGTGAGAAACCTGCCATTACCCTCCACTGATGGACTTTGCATCAGCCCTGAAGTATCTGAGACATGTGGACATCATGCCCATTTCCTACAACTTACACATATTTTTCAAGACTTAAAGCACCATAGTCTCAAAACCTTAACTCAGTGTGTAATGGGTTTAACATATATTTTACATCTTAATTTGCCATAATAATGTGGCTATAAGCTGCTGTCATTCACTCCCTTTTTCTGACCTTGGAAATAAAATGTTTAATCTCCACGGGATTTTCCTGGCGAGATGTTTTAAATCAGTGCATATGTACATACTTCTCTATATGCTTTTTCAATTTTCCTAAAATATTCTCATATGTGCAGACATGATGACTAGACATGTTTCAGTGGTGCTTGAAACTTGATACAAGGGGGTAATTTAACCATGTAATTGAACAATATTACAGAAACACACTGAGTTTCCTAGCAACAAAAGGCCTTGGACATCAAGATGGCAGCCAGCAGCTAACATTGCAATTGCCTGACCTAACTTGAAAAGAAATTACACTGAAGAATGTCCTCCTTCCTCTCAAAGTAGAACTGGTACATGGCTACAGGTCTAACCTTGAAGGGCTTTTCTCACAGGCCTTACTCACACACAAGGTCACAAATGTCACATGAGAAAGGACATTTAGGGAACATTTCTATTTTCCAGAGGTAAGAATAATGGATTTGAAAAAGGTTCTGTAGCCTCAAGTTTACCCCTATGGAAAACAAAAAGCTTCTTAATGTGAAGCAGCTAAGCATAGCTGAGCTTGTGGATGAGCAACTCCCCCCTGCCAGGGCATTTCCAGAGCACCAAGGGAAAGGTGGCACAAGTCCCCTGAGCCTGGAGGCCACCAGTGCTGCCCTGTGCCACCAGTCCCTGTGCCAGAGAGTCCCATGGCTGGGAAAACAGGACACACAGGGATGGCAGAAGATCCTCTCCCTTCTTTCCTTTTCCCTCATTTTTAGCCATCTCTTGCTGTAGTATTTGGGAGGAGCAAAAACACAAGATTTTTAGTCCAAGTTCTTTTTTGCTGAAGCAAGTGAGTTGGCTGAGCAGTTATCTCAGAGGGCTGAGGAGAACTGTCCCCTCCATTGGTGCAGGGGGGAGGTGACAGCTGAGATGAGCTTCTGACCAGCCACTCTCAGTCAAAAGTTGTCTTCTCCTCAGGGGGAAGAAGCCATCAACTCAAAGTTGCAGTGACCCCAAAACTCCAGGATCAAGGCACAGAGGACACAGAAAAAATTCCTTACACCCTTCTATGCTCAGAGCTTCCTTCAGTTAAACAACAACAGAAGCCTCTATTCCCAATTACACCATGACTTCATTTTTCCATCTGAAGCAGCTAACTGTTGCTTCAAGAAAAATATCAAAAATTGCTAAGTTTTCATTCAGAAAACAGGCACTCTTGGGCAGAGAAACAAACCCCTTCTAACACCAGGATGATGGTCTGCTGGTATTTCCCTAAAATAGCAGCAGCTATTTGTGTGCAGCATGTCTATAACAAAGATGTTGGTATAAAAACGCTGCCTTGCCAACACCATTCTTTTCAACGTTGCCTTTCCAGCTCTGGAGGCACTGGCTGCTTTCACAGCCAAGTTTGCCACTGCTATGGAAAACAGGCTGCACATGCAAGCCAGCTGAAGTCATCCAGACTGAAAAGGGCCCAGGCTGCTGCTGCTACCACTGTAAAAATGTTATTTGGAAACCGTCTTCTCAGAGAGCTGTATAAGGAATCAAAAATCCGTGGTAGGGATGCAGGCTTGGTGCTTTCCCATTTTTTAGCAGTGACGAACACAACAAAGCTCTTATCTCAAAATAAAACATTTTTGCCCCTTACAAAGGCACATAAGCAGGCAGGGCAGAGTGGCCCTATATAGCTGGCCTGGCAGTGTCCTGTTCACCACTGCATCTGAGCACCTTCGGGCACTGTGCTCCCAGAACCTCAACCAGCGTGCATGGAGAGCTCTGCCACACCTTCCTCTTCCTCAGCTGGGGGACAGAGGGATGTCTCTCCATTCATGAGAGAGGTTGTGCACAGGGAACAAGAACAGCATGGAGACAAGGCCAAAATCACAAAAGAAAACAAAAGTAAAGCACTTTAAACCTCAATAAGTAAGGCCAGAAATAATGTAGTAATTAGTCAAACAAAGGTAAATGACACAAGAAACACAAGATTCTCAGTGTCTAAGGGAACACAGAAGCTTGTTTTAGAGCAACACAAACCATTTCCTCCACAGATTTGTCCCTTCTGTGCTGCTGTTTGCTGTCTTACAAGGGCTGAGTTTGTAACTTCTAGGGCAGATGTTGGGTCTCCCTATGATACCCAGCTGTCTGTTTGCATAAGACTTGGAGTCCAAAAATCCAATAATTACACGATGGTTCCTGTTAGCACTCAAACAACAATTAAATACAGAGAGAAAGGAACAGTTCTATTTCCTTAAGATGCTTCACAGCATAAACTGCTTCAGATCAAAGGTCAATTTAATTAAGTTTTTGTTTCTTGAGCCTCAGAAAAAAACCCCCATTTTTCAACAGCACAATTTAAATCTCATCTGAACTAGAAAAATACACCTGTCAATAATTGTGCCAAATCTTAGAGACATTCTCCAAAGTCCTTCTTTTAAATGCTTTTTGCTAAATATTTTATCTATCCTGCATCCCACTGCACATTTCATGGCAAGAGTCCTTATGAAAATGTCACTACTTCAGGCAATCAGATAAGACATAAATGGCAGCAGGCTTTTTTCAGAGTTTTTTCTATATGAGTTTTCTCTACAAGGTAAAAGCAGATTAGGCTGCACTGTTTCTGTGCTCCAGCTGAATATGACAGCATTTAATTGAGCCATAATATAATACCAGATATGCTTCATTTGCTTTTTGTGATCCAAAACCAGTGCTCAAGTTTAGGTGACCTCTGATTTAGGCAAATCTGAAGAAGTTTAAATGCTGCAGAAAAATTGTAGTCAAAGCTCTCATCATTCACTTCATTTTTGGAAAGTTGCTCCAAAGCCCAGTGACAAAAGATTGCTTTCATTCAGAACACAAGAATTCCTGAAGAGTTCTGGACCATCTTAGGGCTTCAGTTTTTGAGATAGCTCATTTCTCATTTACTATTGGTACAAAACATCAAATACAGGCAAAAACCCCCATTCTAGCTGAAATCTTTATATTCCAGCCAAGTCATTGGGTGTGACAATGAGAGGTGCAAAGCACATTTGAACATCTCTGTGCTTTGTAGATCCCTAGGAGAAATGCTGACTTGAAAGGTCAGGAAAACAATAAAATTCCAAGTAAACCAATTGGAGGTGTTAGCATCTAATTGTTTGATACTTCACATCTTTCTGAAGAAAGAAAATTTCTTACCTTTAAGAAAACGAACCTTTTCAAAATCTTGAAAATTAAGTAACCCCAATATAAATGCAGGCCTTGGAGGATTAATAGCATCCCATTGAATAAAAAATATGCTATGACAGGAGTTGTGGAGTAGTAGGTAGGCTGATAGAGTGTGGCACGAAGAATCCTAAAAAAATAAAAATTGTTATGGTGCAAGATTCTTCCTTATGCTATTAACACTAATTTCTAATCTCATATTCCAAACTGATTAATATTAAAAAGCTCTGCAAATACAGTAGATTAAATAACAAGCCCTGCCTTAACTAGATTGTGCATCTCTGTTGAAATACAGACTTCAGAAGATGAGAAACTCGAGTCTGGCATTAAAGTATTCTAAGTGAGGTTAGAAAAAGTCCCTGTTTTTCAGATCTTCATCTCTGTGTGGTCTAGATACCATGCAACTCAGAGCTTGCCTATACTTTGTTTAGTGTAAATTCTCTCTAATCTGAAATCCACACTGCAGAGAAAATCCTACAGGCTTTGCAGCAGGGCTTTTTGTTAATTAACATATGTTTTGTCCATCTTCAGACTTCACTACTTTTATATTATTTGGGGCTTTTTGAGTCCCTTTAATCTCATCAGGTTTCACTTCCAAGCTCAAGAACTGAAAAACAAGAAACTCACTGAAGCAAAATGATTGCAGATCACTTGTACAGTTAATTAAAAAAAACAACAATAGAGTAAAAGACATCAGCATTTCTGAAAGAAAATACTACAGGAAATTAAAGCCTTATGTTGATCAATGTTCAGAACTATTAATTTAACCAGCTTGAGTCTCTAAGGGCTTGTCCATGTGCAGGGAGGGGCAAATTAGAGCTGTGAATGTGAAACATATTAAACACTTTTAAAAAGATAAACATGTTAAGCACCCATGTGGATACTCCAAAGCAGATTAAATCATAGCACTCCAAAGGCATGCAAGTATTTAGCAAGTTAAGATTTATTTGTGCTGACTTAATAAATTAATTGGTTCACCTAAACTTCTTTGAGTGCTCATGTGAGTGAGGTGAGGCACTACTCAAGGACTGGGGAGCAGAGAGAATGCTCTAAAAAAAACAAACTACAGTCATGTACTCTGACTTTGCAGCTACAGCAGAAAGGGTGGAATGAAAGGAAAAAGGATTTCTCTCAGTTAAGGAGCTCAGTCCCCTTGAAAATGCAGGGGCTTGTAGAATTTAACTACTATTTACAAAAGTTACATAACACATAAAAGCTTTTATTTAAGTTCAAGGTGCTCATTTAAAATTATTTTAATGTAATGATTTTAAAGAATGGTCATTTGTCCATTTTCTCACTAGCAGAATTTTCAAGTCCAGTCCAGTCCATTCCTTTCCTTTTTCCATCACAACCAACACTAAACTTTCAGGGGGAGTGGGAATGAAGTAAAAGCCTGGGACTGGATTAAATATTGCTTACCAGAAGGGCAACAGGATCATCCTGGTGATGAAGAATGCAATAGAAAAGATGATAAACAGCATGTTGCAGGTTTTCTCCCAGCGAGCATAATTAAACATTTTGGCTGCCTGCAGTGGATAAAAACCCCCAAACATATTATAAATATTCTCTGAAATAAATTCTATGTTTTCATAAATAAAGACTCATCTTCCACCTAAGCAGGAAGAGTATTTCCTCCCAGTTTGACATCTAAAGCAATCATTTTACTGATACCTAATAAAGCAGCATCAGACCAGATTCTTTGTTTATATTTCTCCTTTTATCTTGAAGGAAAGGACTCTGGATCAAAGGCCTAAAGAACGGCTCTCAGATCAGAATATAAAGTGTCATGGAAACACAAAGTGCTCTTTAGAACAGAGGTAATTCCTCATTTTTCTACCAGATTCCAAACAGACTGAATTCCAAGAGAAGCTGCTGGCTACACCTGCACATTCAGGAGTAGGAGTGACCCCTTAAATGCAGGTGTTCTGGGACATGCCTGTTACTGACCCTGCTCTGGGCCTAATTCAGCTCCTGTCTTCTCCTTTATGAGAGCAGAAGATCTCAGTGCTGGTTTCTGTCCCACTAATAAAGGTTGTAAGTGCTGCTTCTCTCTTAAATGAACTGTCCAGCTCCCCATGCTCCATTAGGAACCACCCTGGGCAAAGTTTTCAAGTGTGAGCAAAGCTGCAGATGCCAAGCCTAAGTTTTAAGCAGCAGCTTGATTAAATTCTTTTTTTTTTTTTCCCTCCTTTTGAGTGGCAGGGCTGGATTAAGTTGTTCTGGTACTCAACTCCAGTTTCTATCCAAGTGCTGTCCTACTAGTAGCTGTCAACTCAGCTGTTTTTAAGGCCACACAGTTAATTTGACCTAGGAGCAGTTCAGGATTAAAAGTAACCCAGCAAGAAAACCTGTTTAATCTGGACCAATCCCAAGTGCACAGCCCCACAATTTGTTGTTCTGGTACAATAAAATAGAGTATCAGGGACAGAAAAGGACAGTGACAGATAACAGCCTACAAGGGCTGCTTAAACTAGCACTGCCACCAAAAGAGGTGATGAAACTCTGCTTTCAGATCTGGTGTTATAAACTCGGGGTGAAGTAAACTCTTATAAACTCTAGTGAAGGAAACACTGTGTTTGTCTTCCAAAAAACCCAGAAGCAACTGTGATCACAGTACTCTGTGGAGAGTAGGACACTTCTTAAACTCTTGGACTAATATTTAGTGCAGGGAAAAATCCTTTCCCTTCAGTCCAGGAGAAGAAACTTTTCTTCTGCCAGAAGATGCCTGATACAGGTTGGACTGGATGTCAGAGGGCTTTTCCAGCCTCAGTGATTCTGTGGTGCTGTGGACAACCTGGTATAATTTTATCAGTGAAACAAGAATAACCCAGGGAGGCAGCTTTATTTCCAATCCCTGTTCTGCACTGAGGAATTTCTCTTCTGCTCCTTTTTCATAATGGATTCTCTAACAAAGTATCAAGTATCAACTTAAATTATCTGGAAGCTTTTTTTATCTTACAAGTTACAAATCTGCAAAGCTGTGTCCCTGTGGGGATTGGAAGAGATCTTATGAAACTCGTGGCAAAAACATTAAAATGTCACTGACGCCAAAACCAAAAAACTCAGCACAGGGGGGAAAAAAACCCCCAAAAAACTGGATAGCAGGGTTACCTCGAGCCAGAAATCTGCAGTGTCGTGCACGAAGATCACCAGAGTTCCAAGCCGCACGTAATTGCCACACCAAGAGCCGCTCATCAACCCGATGGCTGCCAGGTGATGAACGACGTGAGCCGTAAAATCCTGGGAGGGCCAGAAGGAAATAAAGGAAAATCCGGTGAAGCACAGCCCCCGAAGGTCGCTGCCGTGTCCCCCCGAGCGCTGCCCGGGCAGCGGGGGCTCAGGGATGTGTGCGGGATGCCAGGCACAGGCTGATGCTGCCCTCAAGTGGCTGCACCAAATCCCGGCTCCAGGCCCTGCTTTTCCTTAAAAAAAAAAAAATCCAAAACACCACATTTTCCTCGCTCACGGGAGCAGAGGTTCAAGCTACAAACACCACAAGCACTTGCCTTTCGTTTGATATCAATCCCAAGGGTAAATATGAGAGACCAGTAAAACCCGATCTCGGCCATGTAATACCAGTACTGGGATGGCAGCAGGGTCTGTGATGAAGAAAAACACAGTTAATTCTGAGAATAGGAAAAAGTGTCAAGTGAGATTACTTCTTTTTTCCTTTCCTGACTTCTGCTCCTCTGGTGAGTCTTGCTTCAAAAATTAAGCTAAATTAAATTCCTGTCCTGGAAATTAAGAAGGATGCTCTGAGAGCCAAGTATTTTAACTTTTGCTCAGCCCAAACTCTCAATTCCCACAGTTCCTCCCCCACCTCTGGATTTTAACATGCTTTTTATCTGTTTCTGTCACAAAACTACATGCAGAGTCCTTCTGCATTTAATTACAAACAACTGCAAACCAACCCCCTCTTTTTTGGTGAACAATTAACATAATAAACTGAAATGCCAGTTATTTATGCTAAAATCCTATTTATCTGCCTAGGGGAGAGCAGAGCTTGGCTGCTCCCTTGGGTCAGTACTTTTCCCAGGTGTGTACCAGGAGCTGGGAAAACTCAGCTGGGGGCAGGATTATTTGTATTCCTGGCCCCTGCCTAGGACAGGAATAAGAAGGCAGTGGGATGGGGCAGAGTTATTTTAATAAGAGTGCCTTGAAGCACCACGGGGCCTGGAGCAGTGCAGGGGTTCTGCACTGAATCTGGGAACACTGATAGCATCTCCAGTGAGTAACTGGTGTCCCGGGGTGGCTGGAAATGGCAGTGGTCTGCCTGGAGGGGGAAGTTGCAGCACAGGCAGATCCCAAGGAAGTGCTGCAACAGTCAGCAGCACTTCCCAAAAAAAGGCAGGAGGCTTTGGTGCCACACCTCTTTAGGTGGTGCCCGTGTGGAGGGAAAAGGCTGCTGTGGATTACCCCTTCCATTGGGGAAATACCTGGAGGCCACTGGCCCGATGCCAAAAAGCTCACCTGAAATGGATAACCAACCCACGTCTGCCATATGTCGTAAAACCAGGGTTTCTGGGGGAGACACATCAGTCACACACTGCTCAGCTCAGCAACAATTACCATCTTAACTCAAAATCTTCATTACTTCAAATCCCTCTAAGTGGAGCAGGCAAAGAAGCTGTAATCTTGATAACTGTTCTCCACCAATTTCTAAAGGGAACTTACATCTCAGATTTATTATATTGTTCCCAGCTTTTTGGCTTCTTTTCAGGACACCTGAAACGTTCCAGTTCACAATTTCATCATCCAAAGCAGTGGGTGTGTGTTTTATTACTGCAATTACTCAAGATATGTTGCCACAGTGATTAATTTGCTGTGTTTACCAGTCACACACACCAGCGGTTGAGGGTGATAAACAGTGTTTGGGGAGAAGGGCCAGATGAGCAGAGACACGCCGGGATCTGTTCCGCTGCTCGGGGGAAGCATTAATGACACCCCAGGCAGGGCTCAGGGAGTTACAAGCACCACTCTCTCTGCTATTCCCAACTTCTGACTCAGCAGCAACACCTCAATAAATAGCTGTGACCCCCAAAAACGCTGCCAAAAAAGCTTTATGGCCTCCTCTGAGGAAAGCACGGCCATGTGATACATTTGTAGGTGTTAACAAGGCATGTTGTAAAACCATCTGCGTGACTTCTTCAAGCTTGCCTTAAAAATACTGATTACTCATAAATTCCTTTATCATAAAAGGTCAAAAGTTAACTTAAAAATTAAATCTCAGTGCATATTGCAGCCCATCATTCAGATGACATACACCAAAGATCTGAACCCACAGAGCCACTGAAAGCACAGAGACTGTCAATGGGATTCAAGAAAATCTAGAAATTATTTTGTTAAAAACAGAGTATTAATCTTCCAAAAAGTTAACTTACATCATACAGAAATATAAATCCAACAATGGAGGATGTCAGATAGAATGAAAATCGCCAGCTGCAGAATTGAAATGAAAAAATAGAAACAAACCATTACATTTTGTAAAGAGATTGTCCTGAGCCAGAATTACTGCAAATCATTGTATATCACAGAATTCACATAAATGTGGCCTCACACTCAGTGTTAAAGATTTACACATATTAACTGTATCTGAATTATTAATATTTAAATATTTAAGGCTTAACTGCTAAATTAGGAAATTCTTTTACATTATCACAATACAGATATTTTGTCATTATAGCAGTAATTTTCCAGCCAGGCTTGAACTGATCAAGAGAATGACCACAGCAAGTGTAATAAATCCCTTAAAAATTAATGTTTGAGAACACAAACCTTTTCCTGGGTTCATTCACTTCATCTCTCTCAATATCAATTGCTGATAACAGGGGAAACTTATGAATTATTAGCATCTACTGGGTTAGTTTACATCTTGCTACAAGGTCTCAACTATAACCTCATCTTTGTCCAGATGTGCCAGAATTCAGCCTGATCTGAGTTTTTTGTGGATTAAATGGATATCCAGCAAGGCAGATAAACTTTCCAGGTTTGCACCATCAGCCTGCTAAGTCAGCAAAGGGAAAAAGCTCTTGAGCATCTCAGTGCACTGCGCTGTCGCTTTTGGGTGTCAGAGCAGGACGCTGTGACTTGGAGCCAGCAATCGGCTCCCAGTGACTCTGCAGCCTGTGTGGGAGGTATTGTCCCTGGGGCTGGGTGTGGCTGCAGCCTCAGCCCAAGCATTCCCACTCCCACCACTACAGATGATGGAAAATTCCTTCCTTTCCACTCTTCCCCTCGGCAGGAACGAGCCTGACCTTTCCCATAAGCACCTCTGCAAGAGCAGCAGGAAAACACAGCAGGACTTGACATGCAAAGAAAGGTTGTGACCACAGGGACAGGCACACGGCCTCAGACCTGGTGAGAACCTGTTCTGGAACAAGACATACCCCAGAGGAGAGCAGCAAGCAGCTCCCAGAAAACCTAAAACCACTGAAAAGGAGAAAGAACCACAAGAACCCTGGACCAATGGATTGAGAGATGCATGAAAGGAGATTGTGGTCTTGGGAAAGCATTAATGAAGTGCCAAATGAGAGAAGAGCAGGAGAACCTGTTTGGTAAAAACAGCCCCTCCTTTCTGAGCCCCACATCCCCTGGAGGCTGATATGCCAGGAGAAAGAATGAGATGTTCAAAGTCTGAGACAGTTTTTATGAGAAAAACAACAAACAAAAGATAAGGATGTGGAATGGTGGAGGTGAGACAAAATGTCTCATACCTGAGAAAGAAGTCAGGAAAATAATTATAAAATTGCCAGGTGATACACATGTGATAAACAACTGTTTTTCTTCTCAACTTTAAACTATCTGTCCTCAGAAGATTTGAAAATAGCACTACACAATAAGCACTGCATGGACAGGAAAAGCACAAAGGTACATGGTGGAAATTTAGAGAGTAAATGGAAGGGGAGAGTGGAAACCACAGGTAATACCTGGCTCAGAGTTAACAAAGATGCTGGAGAACACAACACTGGCATGGCACAGACTCTACACAGGGGCTGCTTCTGCCCTTAAGTCTCTCATTCCAAACCAGGAGGTGTGAGCAGTCCAGTGGATATGGCAGAACTGATTCTGTGTTGATTGTAAAGTGCAAGTTTTCTTTTTCAAAGTGGTTTTCTGAATGGGATTCAAAGCACAGAGCACCTACAAGACCGTGCCATTAATCCCCAGCCCTACAAATATATATTGAATATATTTGGCAATAAACAGCTTCAATGAACTCATTCTGTGTGCGAGACTGCCAGAGCACTCCCTCATTTTGCATTTAGCTGAGCTTCTTTATGAATTTGGTGAATAAAACCTGAAGTAAAACTCATTCAAATTCACCAAATTTTACTCAAGTGCCTTTTAAACTCTGATCCTGGCCACCAGAGAGAGCACTGAACAACAGCTATGCAAGAGGATTTTCTGGTTTAACTTCAGGAATCTTTTCTCTTGAACTGAATGGAACAAAAAAAGAAGCTAGTGAGGGAAGTTAAAGGCTGGTAAGTCTTACAAGGCAGTGAGGGTTTCATGCAAAGGGCTTTCCAAACCCCAGCATTGCTTAACTGGGAGCACTAATAGCATAAGTATGGTTTAGATCTGGCTCATCAGATTTTCCCTGTGATTCAGAAAAGAGATCCTGGAGATTGCAGGCTTTCATAAAATTTCATAACACTGACTACTAGAGTGGAATAACTCTGTTCCTCGTTTTTTTGCCTAGAGAATTATATTCAATTAAATTCACTGACAAAGAGCAGAGCAAGGTTCACAAAATTGCACAAGAGAAACCTGTTTGATTCATTCTCACTCAAGCTGCCAAGCAAGTTGGAATTTCAGTCTTTAGCTGTGTGTTACTAGAGACAAGCATGCACGGCAGGCAGGTCTTTTAGCAGTAGCAAAAAATCTTATTGTCACTTGTGAAACCAAATAAACTGATCCCCAAAACAACAGCAGACATAAACCATGTCAGGAGAGTTTACTCAGCTCAGACTTCAAAGAGACCTCTGTCTATCATCTGGATTTATGTCTGATAGAGGACACCACTAAATCATCATCACATTGATTAACACTGAAAATAATCTTGATAAAGTACTCGACTTGGAGCTCTGTGCTGTACTTTTAACCCTCATTCTTTAAGCTGATCTAGAGTAACAGAGGTTCAATATTACAATCAAGTGAATTTTTGGCAATGCTAATGAAAAGCCAAATACACAGAGCATTTGAAAGTGCTTTGCAGTGGTACAGTTAGTGTCAGTACAAAAAAGGGATGAGCTGTGCCCATTTGGGGATTTGCAATTTGTATGAGATTTTAGATCACACTTGAAGTGTTTAGGTATGAGGAAGTTCTCACACATAAGTGAAAAATCATATGCAAGGGGTTTTGAAACTTCTTACATATTCATTATGATCACTCAAAGCTGCTCACTGGCCCACTCTCAGCAGTGAGTTTGAGTTCCTGTTTCACACAGTATCCCATGATCAAGCTGTGGCACCTGTCCTTTAGTCTGGATGCCACAATTCCTGCTCTTGAACTGACTTTAATACACATGACAGCATCCCAAAATGACAGTGTGGGTACAAACATAAACCAGGGTAAGCATTGTTGTTCCCTTATGATTACTGGCAGACAGGAAAATATTTCCCTATTCTCTGCATGTTTTCATCTTCTTTGTGTAATTATGGATTTGTAAGCTCCTGGTACAAAGTGTAAGACTGCAAAATATTTTAAGTTGGTTTTTTTTTTCAGGAGAAACAGTTAACCTTAACTTTTAACCATCATTTGGAGAATGCTGCTAAACCCTTTCAACTTGTTTGTGCATTCAGAAACCAAAACCCTCATAAGGTAGACCCAGCCTTCTGGAAAAGGGGGACCTCAATCATTTTTTTCCAAAAGATTAAAGCAGTAATAACCAAAAACATTGTCTTTCCTTACAAAGCTTCCTTGAATTTCTGGAGCACTGTTGGGATCTCAAGGTTCCTCCGTCTCCTGAACCATTTCTCCACCAAGTGGACGGTGCAGTTGCACTTTTTGGCAAGGCCTTTGATATCTGACTGCAAGAAATGGAACAGTGTTAGCACCAAAGTCACTTTCATTTATTTTGTAGTTCACAGAGCAGCTTCCCACAGTTGTAAGGTCTTCATTTAAAAATACTACCAATATTAAATATACACGGGGGGGCATCTTTGAGTAATGCTCACAGAAACCTTGGATTTTTATTTATATAAATAAAGCAGGCACAAAATTAACAGACCCATAAACTGTTCTATGGTCTTTCTGGTCACCCCTGAGAGTTTCAGAGATGCAATTTTTACTGTTAGATGAGAACTTAGGCTGGAGAGGGAAGTGCCATGTATGAACACATGTGGACACAGCACCTATTATCTTACCCAATCATAAATATTAATAATTTGTTTATATGCAAGTCTCACAGATGAGAAGTGGCATGGAATTAAAGTGACCCGAGCTCTGCTCTCAAATCCAAAGCAAGTCAATGTCTCCTCCTGAGCAAGGTCCAGACTGCTCCCCTCCAACACCAGAACTAAACGAGGGGTGGAGCAGGGCCTAGAACTGCACCTGGCCATTGGGGTGCCACACCTGGCCATTGGGGTCTCTGCATCCTCTGTGCTCCCAAGGTGACCAGGCCAGCAGGGGCCCAGCACAAGGCAGTGAGACTCCTGCATTTCAGGGTGTTCAGTGCCCCACATGCAGCAGCCTGGGGCTTCCTCCCTCTCCTCCATCCCCAGGTGCAGAAGGTGTGGGATGTCCTCCCCGGGGCTGCCTCAGGAGCAAGGGCAGTGTTTGGCTCATCCCTGGGGAAGTTCTTTCCTCCCAAGGGCAGTATGCAAATAGTGGGTGGCAGCAGTGCTGCCTCCACCGAGGTGAGGCCAGTCCAGGTAGTCTCCTGCCCTCAGGGAAACCTCTGGAATGTGAGAAAAGGCACCTGGGCTGCCAGGGAGGGCTGGAGAGCAAAGCAGCCGCTGTGTCCAGCCCACCCTGCTGGCTCTGAGCTTGCCACGCAGGAATAGTGACTCTGTTTCCACACAACAGAGCCCACATGCCTCAACTGCCAGCCAGGCTTTCCCAGGCACACTTCCCCAAGCTGGATACCTAAAGGAGGCAGCCTAAATCCTTCCCAAGCTCTGAGGAGTCTAAAAAATGCTGTGCTTCCTTTCAGAAATCAGATGTCCAACTGCACTCAAGCAGAAGGAAGGGATGAAACTGGGACTGGGATACTTGCCCAAGGAGAGAAGAGCTCGTGTGTGAACACCCATACATCTACTCCTGATGTTATCAGGCAAAAGGCACAATAAAAGCAGAGTTATGGATAGAATGCCAAGTTCCACTCTCAATAATTGTCAAAATCACTCATTACTAGAAAGCACATATTTCTTTTCAAAACCAGTGTAGGAAAACTGCAATTGTTTGGGAACTGTAGTCAGGTAAGGGAACTTCCTGAGGCTGCACTCACAGCAAAGTGCCTGTCTCCCATCGAAAATCAAGTTGCCTCATTTTAGGAAGTGATAAGCATTGGCTAGTCTTTTCTTTCTTGTTCAATTTTAAAAACAAACAGCATCATAATAGAAGGATTGCTTTTCTTTCTCACATAAGCCAGGATTAAGTATGCAGCAACATAACGGATCAAAAGGTTTCCATGCCAGCATTCCAATATTACTGCCTGCAATAAATACTGTCCTGCTTTCCAACAACAGACATCAGCTGAAGTTTTCTCAGGCTGAATGAGTTAAAGATGGAACAGTCATCTTCACTGGAAATATTAACAATCTAACCTAGAACAGCATGCCAGAAAATAAAACATCTCAAACGTATTCTGTTTCAGATGCCATATACCCTTGTCAGCAGAACAACAACAAAAACCCAAATAAATTAAGTCATCTGTAAATCAGCTGGAACTCATCCCATGATGTCATTGCTGAGAGCTGATTGAAACAGTAAGAGTGAGATTTTCAAAAAGCAAAACGAGTTTGGAAGAATGAGAATCCTTACTTGGGATGGATGTCTTGAGCACTCCCGGAAATAACTCTCTAACACGGGATTAGGCTGTGGCTTCACACGTCTTACATTCTTTATACCCAAGGCTTTTGCTAGAGGTATAGCAACATATCTGAAAAGACACAGCATGAAAAGCTTTACAAATACAACACAGTTACAAGACTTTGGCTGTTCTCATGCCAGGATATGAAGAAAACAAATCTGATGCAATTTAATCTCCCATAGAATGTGTCAGTGCACTGAGAAAATGGGATCCCAAGTTTATCAGGAGTTTCACAACAAAGAAGACCCAAGGAATGCAGATTGTGGACACGAAATGCTGTTAAACTCGAGGAAATATCCAGGCTTTTGTGGCCATCAGAGGAGTGCTGGAGTTGAGTGAAGGGAAACTGGATGCTCTCTCCATGTGAGCTCAGGGATTCCTACTGGGCCATTTCCTCCCAGTGGCAAAGTCACTTGGCACCTTCTTCACTGGGCCACCACCACCCACGCTGGATCCAGCCTGTGGCACACAGCCAGTCCCTGAGCCTGATGGATTCTCTTTCCCTTCCCTTTTCCAACCCAAATGGCTGCAGAGTGTGCCAAAGGTTTCTTGCTTGGGCAGGATGTTCAGAAAAGTCCCCTCCCTCCTGCTATCAGCCATTGATTCCTCATTACTCATAGCAGTGGTCAGCTTTCCTCAGACTCACTGCAGCCAGATGTGTGGGCTAATTACCCTCAGCAGTCCTTTCCAACAGCACTGCAGAGAGACACATTTGGGCAAGAGTGTGTTTGGGAGACACTGGGAATGGTTATGAACATATGATCCAAATTACTTTTGATTTCCAGCATGAATGATCTTATCTGCTTCTGGTTTAAGTCTGTCCAACTTACAACATTCCAAATTTCCTCATTCTGTCCTGAAATAATTATAAAAACCCACTAATCACATTTTTAGAGGAAAAAGAAAAGAAAGTAAAGCAAAAAAGGTACAAATAAATAAGTCAAAACACTGCAAATCTTAACGTGTTTGTAACTTTCTTCTCCGGAGCCAACCTCTGCCTGTCCCCTAAGATTCCAGCTGCAGAAGCAATCCATTTCTTGGTGCCAAAGTGAGGGGGGAAAAAAAAATGAACCAGCTTTACTAGATCTGCATAAAATGTTCACATGAAACTTTGAGATCCCTCCAGTCTGCTTAGCTTGGCCACAGAGAGACACCTGGGATCTCTCAGCCTCACACGAATGTTCTGGTACAGGATCAAATGAGAGGTTTGAGAGGACTAATCTCTCTATCCTTCCACTGAAAGAGAAAAAGGAAACCCAAATCGTTTAGAATTAATTATGAAAAGAGTGAAAAGTGATAATCATTAATTTTTCTCCAGTGAAAAGAGATAATCAGAAGTATCCAAATGCTGTTCTAGTAAAGCTGGATAGAAATATTTCCCTTCTGGATTGGACCACAGCCACACATACCTAATAAGGAAAATATTTCCCAATTTTTCACCTCCTATGTTATCTGTACTAGATCTTCCCAGTAAGCCACCAACTAATCCTCCTTTATATAACATAACATTGATCTACAGATATCTCATTTTCAGCATTAATGAGGACTAACATTAACATCAAATTGCATTTGTGTTTCTTACCTTTCACTGAAGAATCTGATGATGAGCAACACAAAAGCATATGGGATTGTGACATACAACTGATGTGGTTTGGGAAAGACAAGTCCATCACGGTCCACAAAATCTGCCCATGTGCAGTTGATGGGCATCCAGATGTTCTCCCACCAGAACCAGCTGTTGAGTGTCTTTAGTATGTATGCCATGCTGAGTAAATAAAGAGAATTTCATTTATTCTATTATTAAAGAGAAAATGCATGAAAAGAATCCATATTGAGCCTTGTTGTGTAGAGCCTGTGAAGTCAGTGTTCTCAGGGGGAAAAATAAAATCATACAGGAAATTAAAACCATCTTGGTTTAAAGCAAGGAGATGGGATTATAACTCATCAGAAGATAAAATAATAAAGCCAAATTTTGATCTGATATAAAGCAATACAGGGCCTTTGAAATCTGCACAGGGAGGTACCTGCTGCCTCCTTTCAGTCACTCACACTGCACTGCTTAGTACCTGCTCAAATCTCCTGCAACACTCATGTATTATCCATCATATTAACACTAATGAGAACTGATATTCCTGAGGCTGTCTTGATAAATCAAATATAAGTGGGAGGAAGAGTGGAAAAGAGATGAGAAAGTCCAGGGAGTGCCTCAATTCCATAGTAATGAGGACATTTCACTGATGAATTACTGCTGTTTAATATGCTAATGGAAATATACCCTGAATTTACAAACACCTGTGCATAGGAACAAGTGGGAAAAAAATATAATGCATAGCAAGCTTTTTCTGGGAACTGGGGGAAATAATGTGATTTAACTGTGACCAAGGCCTAGATCAGGAACAAATGTCTAAAATCAGTCCTGGGAAAAAAAAAAAAAAAGAAAATCACTTTGACTAAAGTATTTCATTCTTGTAAAAGCCTCCTTTTTAACTTTTGCAGTCTACATTATATATTTAGAAATTGCTATTCTCTCTCATTTATTTGTAAGGACTTTACATGTCCATTACATTTACATGTAAACTTTACATGTTTACAAGTACAAACATATATATATATATACCATATATACCATATATATATATATATACCAAAAAAATATTCTAACACTGAAGAAAAATAGACGTTACTATAACATTTTCCATAAGGCTGAAACACAATTTTTCCATGATTTCTAGGAATAGTAAACTTGAATTATTTTTTCCATGCTAAAATTTTCTGTAAACCAGGAAAAACATGAGGAAATCACTGATTTCATTGAAACATAGCCTTGATGAGGAAACAGTTGAGCTGGGAGGATGATTTCAACCAAATCTTTCTCTCATCAGATGTCCCAGCAATGTCTCTGTACAGGATCATGAGTTAAGATCAAACCATGCCAAGGTCAGGCAGCCCTTCTGCCCTTTCCATGTTCCATGTCTGAGCAGGGGACACAGGATTTTAGTTGTGCCTGCAGCTGGCTTGGGACACCATGCCCAGAGCATCCCACCAGCACTCCAAACCCGGACACAGCTTTAATTAACACTGGAGCCCAGGTTAATTAACAGCCAAACAACCATTGCTGGTCCACACTGGGCTGTTTCCACTAAGCTTGGAGCAGGTTTGTGAAACAGTGACCTGCACCCACCAAACAGAGCTGGTTAACAGCACTGCAGATCCATTTACTGGCCAAGCACAGTAGTCAGAATTGAACTGTTAATAACCCAGCCATTTAATCTTTTTTAAATGCAGGAAGGGGACAGTTAAAACCTCCTGAATGAATCATGTGTATATAAGCAAATGCAAAAATAAAGGAGGGAGAAATCACAATTGTTCCCGCACTGAGACTTTATATGCCAAGTTTCAGCCTAGAGCAATGTTTTACTGCAGAATTATAAACTCCTGGAAGTGGGGGATTTATACAGGGGCTGCTAACACACCCTAAACAGCAGCTTGCAGGCGCCATCCTAATGAAGCAGGGCTTTGAAACATGACATTTTGGGTCAGACAGAAAGGCTTGCAGACAATAGAGGACAGCCTTGTTACACAGTTCTGCTTCCTAATATATCTATATTTTTTTAACTAGACTGTGCACTGCAAGCTATCACAAACTGCAATAAAAACAGACCAATCTGTTATAGCACAGTGGAAGGAGCACTCACAGTTGCCTTGTGGTGAGATGGGCTGGGACTGAACATGCATCCCAAATGTTTAAATCTTAGAAAAGCCCAGTGGTGCATATTTTCTTATTGGATTCCTGGGATCTCACTAATTGATGGCTTTCTTCCACACATGGATGCCTCACCATATGATTACCTCTTTAACTAGTTAATATAGCACTATTAAACTAAGCTCATAAGTACATGCTTAATCTTAAAATGTAAGGGATTTGAGGTCTGATCCAGAGTTCACATATTTCAGGGGAAATATTTCCTCACAGACACTGAACAGATTCATCAAAAGTGGGTTCCCTGAAACTCTTCTTTTTGCATTCCCTATATTTGTACCAGGACTGACCTGGCCCATGGGAGTTAGACCATCCCTGATGAACATTGCCCAAGTGATTCTGACAAAACCAATGATGAGAGTCCAAATCTGTCTGCAGCATATTCTTATATTTCATCACCCTTAAATTGGATATTTTTGCTGCAGCAAATCAGGCCATTCCCTGGGAAATCTTGAAGATTTCCATCCTCATAACAGCAGCAGTGAAATAGTTGGGTTGCTTTCCTACCTCCCTTCAGCTCCCATGATGAGGTTCCTGGAGCACGTGGGAGGTGAAGAATTCCTTACAAACACCGACCTGAGCAGGAGCAGGGGGCAGCCCTGGCCACCAGTCCCAGTGCTGGGAGCAGGCTGAAGATACTGGATTTCTGAAGTGGATGGTTTGTTACCTGCACAAACTGTCACAAGTTTTCTCCTCTGCAAACACTGCTTTCAAAGAACGGGCAGCAGATGCAAAGGTCCAGCTTGACCTGATTGGGAACCAGCTCTAGCCAGAAACTTTAAATCCTACCCAGCCTAAACCTGCTATTGCAGAGTGCTGAGCTCAGAGCTTCTCCTCACAGCCTGTGGCAGTACCAAGCAAGCAGGAGTGAGAAATTCAACAGTGAGTGACTCATTCTGCCCAGCCTAGGGTGAAAAACCTCTGCCTCTTCCCAGATTCCTATCCACAGACCAGCACTGCCAGGAGCATTGCATTGAAAAAAAATGGATTCGTTCCTCTGGAAGGGGCCAAAAGTCAATCAAAAAGAAAGATATTTAAAACAACGGAAGTTCCTCTGCATCTCAGGGATTAAATACTCCCAGTAAAGAAATCAAATCACCTCCCTGCCATGGAAGGATCACCTCTGTAGCTTAATCTAGTTTTAATGGGCTAGTGCAAAACTGGAAAATCAGGAATGATTACTTCAGGAACTGCATCCTTTATAATTAAGGAAAGCCCACACAGTTGGGAAGTACCAATGTGAAGTTTCCTTCAAAGCTCTGTTTCTTGGATTGTGGATATATTCAATAAAAAAAAAAAAAAAAAGCACTCATATTTTTAATGATATTAAGCAAAGAAAAAAAGAAAAAGGACAAATTTGAGGTTGACAAAACCTATGTGGCTGCATTTTGCAAAACAAATTCAGGAGCTGCTTTGAAGTGGAATTTCTGGCTGCTGCAGTCTGAGGAATTAATAAAAAGAAACTGAGCCAAAGCTTTGATTGTATTCTCTGCACAAAAGCTTTTGCTTGCAAAAACTGCATGTCCAAAGCCAGGACTAAGAGAAGGAGATATCCAGGTTTGCAGGATGTATTAGGAGGATTTCCTATCCCTATTTACTGAATAAATTACAAAACCCAATGGCTCAACAACACAAACATGCAAGTGAATGTAAACTTAATTCTCCTAAGCCTCCCTTTAGTCTCCTCAGTGAGGCTCCAGAGGTGTAACAGGGACTGAAATCAACAAAAAGCAAGAAGAACACAATTCTCCTATTCCTCTCATCATTTGGCAGAACTGGTAAATCTGGTGCAGTGACTGTTGGGAAAAATCAAGCCTCAGATATCAAAACAGATAAAGCTGTTCCAGGCTTTCCTCAGCATGAAATAGAAATGGTTTAAAAGAGCAAGTAAAGATCAGATTCACCATATCACAGGCTTTGGTTTTGCTTAACACTCAGCAATATTTCCAGGAGTTAACACACAAGTTTGAGCTGCAGATTTGTGTTCAACTACAAACAGATTTTTTTTATTTTTGACATTGTATGAAGTATCCCAACTACATCTACCACCATGAAAAACCTGAGCAGAGATGGGTCCTGCACATTGAACTGTGGTTTGTGGAGGAAGGGACTGAAGGAAGGATTTTTTGGTGCTGCCACCTCTTTGCATCCTGTCTTATCTTTTGTGCAAGTGGGAGAACATAATTCCAGTTGAATTCTCCACAACCTGAGGCAGGGGTGACTGACACCTCTCCCAGCCCACACGCACCAGCAGTGGCAGCACGGAATAAAGAAGCTGCTGGACTCAGTTTCTTACAACTAAACCCTGAAATACTGAATTCAAACAGCTGAATTAAGATTGCTGTGAGACCTTTAACTTCACATTTACTCCCTGGCTTCTACAAAACTCAACTGTAAACACTTTAAGTGCCTCGTTACAGGGCAACTACAGCATTTTACTTCTTTTACTGTTCTTTCACATTACCTTGTAACTTCGGTACGATATTGAGCAGGCAAAAATAGCACTTTGAATGAATCTCAATTAAGGTGAGTTTTTATTTTTCCCTGTTCTCTGGGAGGAAAAAAAAACCCACAAAAAAGTGAAATAGACTAATTTGAAATAATTCATTTTCTGGGTGAAAGTCACCATGCTCTCTCTACTTAAAGGTAAATAATTTTTGAGCAGTTAAAATGGTTTTAGGTGATGGCAGGCTGCCAAGGAAAGTGAAATACAGTTATCTCACTGTACAGTTACAGTGCAAACTATGTCCACTTTTAAGCTTTAAAAATCTATAACATGAACAGAGTGGAATAAAGAACTATGAAACAACTCAAGTAACTGCAATAATTTTGAGATAAGAAGTTGTTGGAAAAAACCTTAACCCTATCCCAGCTAGAGGTTCTTAATAGATTATTAATTCACAAAAAGTTTGAACAAACCTAAAAGAACAACACTTATAGCTTTGAGAACTTAGTAACACTTATGAGAATGTAAAGAAACATTATTACATTATGAGACTTTTCTTCAAATTTTTACTACTGGGGAAAGATGTAAAAAGGATTCATTTTTGTAGCTTACTAAAACATAGTTTGAAATACAAACTTGAAATCTAACTTAAAATGCTAAGCTACATA